TTTTATTTTAAAATGATTAACTAAATAGTATCTGTCTTGTCACATCTTTTCAAAGTTATATAGTGAAAGAATAATGTGACTATCTGGCTGTATGTGTCAACATAGATTATAATGCATTTGAAGAGGACATAATACATATTGAGTGGCCAATATTGTCTTGTCGCATCGACAGTTAAGCTAATAATGGTCATTCTAACAACCATAGTTTTGGATTTGTTGGATTGCTTATAGAGTCAATATTTTAGTCTGATTTTGCTTTTCATTCTTCAAGAGAATTTCAATTGACATAGGAATGCTTTTTATTGTTATTTACTAAAATATATTCAGAAAAATTGAGTGATAGATTCTACTGAAATTGGTCCAAATTTTCGACACTGTTTATAAATGATTGAACTTTGTAATGGTATTAAGAGGATTTTCTTTTTCGAGAAGTAAAACTAATTTTGGTAGTTTCATCGGCTAATCTCTTTTAATTTTGGAAGTAAAACTAATTTTTAAGAGGATTACGTAGGGAAAATGTGTATTGTTATGGGTATTATGTGGGGGTAATATGACTTGATGATTTTCATGAGTGTGTGTTTTGATTTTATGGATTGAAATGTTTGATTGAATGACGTTGGTAAGTGATATAGTTTTTGTATATTATTCATGATTGTGGTTAACTCACCCTTGCTTGTTTGTGTTTATGAGATGATCATATAACTCATGTTGTTATACGAAAGCAGACATTGTTACAAATGAATGATGCTAAAGTAGTTTAGAGTAAGGAGTCGTACTAGAAAACTTGTGATTTTAAATTGTATTATGGAATAATGATATTTTTAAGTTGTATTTTGAACAACTTTTTAGTTTTGGTTTTTGAAATAATGTCTATTTATTATAAAGATTTTGAATTCACTTATTAGTGATGGTACCAAATGTTCATTTCTTTAGTAAATGAAAATTTTGAAAAAAAATTCAAGTGATATTCTGAGAAAGGATATTACATATACACTCAACACTACTTAATGATACTTTCGGGTGTTCAACATCCTGAAATTAAAATGCTCTAGATATGCAATACATGGTTTTGCAATCAACTAGGCTTGTATATTTTCTATAACAACAATTCTATCCAATAAGTGCAAATCATGTGGATCTACCAACTATTACACCGTGTGTAGTGAAAGATTATTTTTGGCTTTTGTTTTGGGTAAGGGGTTGAGGTCTTCTACTCTAAGTTGTCTTGAAGATCGAATGGACAAGTCACTAACTTTACGTAATAATCTTGTAATAAAAATTAGTAATAAGAATTAATTTCCTGACCTCCCATTTAGACACATATTTATAAATAATATAATAAATTTACCATTAAGTCTGATTCATTAATTATCAATAAATGACATTGTTTCTATTAATTTTCAATCAATGACTATTATTCTTATTAATTATTCGTCAATAATTATTATTATTCAGATTAATTATCAATTAATGAAAATTTTATACTGATCGATATTTTCTCAGTAAGTCTAGGTGAAGCTCATTATCCATATCCTTAGACAATTCCTTAGACAATGACCACCCACTTTAGAACCCATTGAACACAAAGCTTAAGACAGGATTCACCAAATACTTGAGTACGCTGATCTTGACAACTAAACTGCTCTCGTGGTCCATACTCAATTGGCCAACATACTTATAGAATATGAAATGAAGTTAACTCAAAAGTCAGAATATAACAATGATCCTTATCCTTCTCAAGAAATATTTCGAAAGCAAATGTATCTTTTCTAAATCGAGATGATATCGGCCAACAACGGTTTGAATACCTATAAGTAATATGCATTAGGAAAACAATTAGATAATTAAGCATAACGTAGTCAAAAAATTGAGTCATAATCTGGGTCCATTTATACAAAAACTTAAGTGTTATGAATAAGATAAGATTTGAAAGTGTATTCGTAGTAAAAAAAATTGAGTCATAATCTAGATACATTTATACAAAATAAAGTGTTAAAATAAGATAAGGTTTTGAAAGTGTGATTATTCATTTATTATTCATTTATTATATATTTATTACACAATTTATTGTTTTCGCAAATTTTGACTACCTAACCGACACCTAATATACCTTGACAAATATATTTAAAAAAAAACTATTTGGAACAAAAAAAGGAAACAACTCACAGAACTAAACTTAGGAACAATGAATTAATTACCTGCATTTTTAATTTATTTTTCCTCTTTAAGTTAAACCATATTTAATTTAAAATTATTTATATGGTATTAATACACTGTAGAAAGTTGATTCCTCTGTTTGCACCCACCAACCAAATTTATTTTCTTTGGTATTTATGTAATTATTTTGTGATATTGTATTAAATTACTGTCACAAGATATGTTCTATAGTTTACCAGATTACACAGGACAAAACACATAAACTGAAATAGAATAATACTTAGGACAGTACACACAATTAATTCATGTATTTTTTCACATAACTTATTTTATTTTAAAATATTCCAATTTGAAAATTATATTAGTTCTGAAAACAGCAGAAATATAAGATGATTTTTTGGTATCATCTAATTTATTTTTCATCTAATCACATTAAATAATTGTAATTGTTTCCTAATATTTTAAAAAAAATATCTGGGCGAAAGAATAATGTTACTTTGTAATACGTCAACGTATTGTCGACAGAGACTCTAATTAATGCAATGGATACATATTAAGTTGCCAAAATTGCGAGGATTGATGGTGAAGCTAATAAAGTCTTAACAACCACAGTTTTGGATTGGTTGGATTCCTTCTAGAGTCAATATTTTAATCCTACTTTTCCTGCTTATTAACTTCTTCAAGAATTTCAATTAAGTTAGGAATACTTTTTATGCTTTTTTATTAAAATATATTTAAAAAAATTGAATTCGAGATTATACTTAAAATTAATTTTTTTATCTAATTAATTAAATATTGAGCTAAATACTAATTAAATAATTGAATTTTCTAATCATATTAATAGGATTTTGTTTTTGTTCTCCCGAAAAATAAAATTAATTTTGGTAGTTTCATCATGTCATCATCATTTAATATATTCTCTGGTTAAAAGATTAAGCGTTTTGTCAACCATCAATTAATTTATTAAATATATTTTGAAATATTTAATGTATTAGATTCAAAAGTATTATAAACCTATAGGTTGTTTTATCAATGAATTGAATATTAATTATTTCAATGAGTGAGTTTGTTAACACTGCACAAATTAGGCAACAAGTTGAATGTTCTTTTTTATTGTCAATTCTTATTTTATTTCAGGATTGTTATGGTTGAGGAATAAAATAATTTATACATAACAAAAGTTAAATTATATTTTGAAACTATTTAAATATGTTATTGTTGAAACTAGACGAAATAAAACCCATTAGATTATATTAGAGGAAGTGGTTTAATGATAACAAAATATATATCATCAAATGATACATATACAATGTTTAATTACAATAACTATACGATATAAGGAAGTATTATAATTGATAAATATTACAAAATATCACATTTTCCTTGAAGGTATTGAAATATGTTTTTTATTTTTATGAATATCCAAATAATAAAATAGAAAACTTCTTTCCCACTCTATTTCCTAATTTCACTCCATTTCAACCCAATCACTCATTCAACGTAAGAAAGGAATAATTTGGTTTAGCAAAAACACTAGTGGAAGAAAATGAATGCATGTATGTGGTCCAAAATGCACCCCTATGTGACTCGCAACATGTGCATGCATAAAGATACAAAAAGGGAATAGTTGTATAATAAAATTAACACTACAAACATTTAAAAAAAAACTAAATATATTCTTTATTTTATATATATAATGCATGTATTTATCTCTACCAAAGTAGTTAATTCTATAAATGAAGTTTTTGAAATACCAATGAAGAAAACAAATCTATGTTGATGATTTATGACTAAGAACCAAAGTTAATCTATTAATAATGTTTAGACACTCAACTTAATAAGAAAAAAAAATAGAAAACGTAATTACAAAAGTTAGTATGAGTTAACATTTCTTTACGCTAAGGTATTATTGCATAGACTTTTCAAAAATCTGAATAATTATTTCCTTTTGTTGATTCTTTTATGATTTATATTTTAGTAGAGATATAACAAAAGATAGTTGAATTGATGAATTTTATATTTTAATATCTAACTTATAATATTTTCTAGCTATACATCGACGACATTGGATATGACAAATACACAAGTCTATCAAACTGGAAGTCCATATAAATGTTGTTGTCAAGTTGTGTTATATAACTTACTTTTAGTTGTAATTTGAGTGAGTGTATCATATAATTTATTTTCAAGTACTTGAATCATATAAATGTTGCATGTTCGCAAGTTTTGTGATATGCATTAAATGATGTTGTACTGGTGAAAGGAGATGTACTTGTCCAGATGTCTAGTATTACATGAAAGTTTGATAGATTTGATTAAGGCATATTATTGACTAATTAAAACACTTTTATTTCTATAATTATACCTTGGTATTTGTTAAAAGTTGTATAGTTTCAATTATACTTAATTAACTTTTATCAAAATTAGATGATTATAGAAATTTTGACACTATTTTGTATTATTTGTAGCTTGAAGACAATGAAGACACACTTGATGGCAATGAAGACAATTTTGTAGAATAATGAAATTTTAGTTATGTAGAAAAAAATAGGTAGGATGTTTTGTACCTAAGTTTTTAATTTCAATTTTGTTAGTTTTATTATTATTATATGAATACCAGTATTGATAAGTCGGTCCTATACTATAAATGATAAATTAAGAATTAGTCATGAGACCCCCTGTTAATCCAAATATGGAACCCCATTCTTTGTTAAGATCGGATAAGTTAAAATAACACTAATGAGCAATCTCAACTTGGTTTAGAGCAATCTCAACCCCCGAAGAATCAATCAGAGAATGTTCAACTAAGGAACAACAATTGTATGCTTCTTGAGTATTGTTTCTCCAGAAAAGAAATGGGTTATTACAAAGGGAGGGAAAGAAATCATTACTCCAACCAATGCTTAACTTTAGACTGCTAAAGTTTTCCTACATGAAATATAAACAGTTTTCTACCGGGAACAGTGACAAGCAGAAACCAACTGAGATTTCTTCCTTTTCTTGAATAATCAGTATAATTGGTATACAAACAATATTTGGTCAAAATTATAGATGGGCAGAAACCAACTAAAAACAAAACTTCAATACATACAATAACAAATCCAATAAAAAAATCAATAGACATAAACGGGCGAGCACTACAGTACAGCAGAGGGAAAACGCCATTCAGAATTGCAGACCACCCCAACCTAAATATTGGAAAAATATTGGTTCCCAACCTCATCTTTGTTGGATTCTTCGTAGTATTATCAACCCATCCTTGAGACAGCACTCGATGATTACACACTAAATTTTCATCTCTTCAGTATCATTTGAATGGCATTTCGTTGAGACTGAGTCAAACTCTGCAGTGCAAACCAAGGTAAATTGCAGAAGTTAAGCAACAATCGTCTATACTATAATGTGAACTAAATGAAAAATATTACTGTGGTAACCTCGCAAATGTGCTCTAAGAGCTGTCGTTCAGATTGCGAAAAGCTAACAAAGAAATCAACAAGGTAATTTGCCAGATTTATCTGTCACTTGCAACCATAATTGTAAATTGTTAACAAACACATGCAAATTTGTTCATCACATTGAATAAAGAAAACAGACTCCAGATCACAGACCTGATTGAGGGGATCAGCAACACTAAAAAGGTTGTCGTCGTACTGATCATCTCGATCCTTTTAATTTTGAAACAAGTTAGCAAAATAAAATAATTAATTAAATTTCAGTATTAAATTATGATATAATTGCATGGTACAAAAATTAAGATAGGTGAGAACAACTGTAACTCAACGAAACCTCATTAAATACTTTAGCCATTGCTTGAAGATGTTCATCAGTGGCTTTTCCCAAAGGTGAAGACACCGAATAAAGAAAATCTCTATCATTTTCGATACCATCCGCTTCAACTTCTTCCCAGTCACTATCCTGAACACAGTTTATATATTAGGTAGCAACTCTTTACTAAATAGTATACAATTGGCGTACACAACAATATCATTAAATACCACATCATCAGCTTCCAAAACTTGTTCTTGTATTTCAGTTAATGCATCCGCCAACAAAGCCACTATCTGCAAAGTATTCAAAAAAGAGAAAACATACTCAGCTTATGATACAATATCAAAACATTCAACTTACCCATAGTCTTATTTTAGAGATAACCGCAAATTTTAATGAGGATGTAAAACAGTAACATTGTTGCAATTCATCGTAGAAACCACACTTTGAGCTTTAAAAATAATTTTGATACAAGAGAAAGAAACGTAATATGAAAACATCCTTTATTTTTGCCTAATAAAAGCAATGAGGTAGTTGACCCAGCGCCGTTATGGGAAATGAGGTTATTGAATAAACTTTGGGATAGTTTCACTAAACTTGAATAATCTAGGCAGAAACACTTAAGGGAGTTCAAATTAGTGTACACAACTCAAGGTGTGCCTGTGAAAACGCATAAAGGTCAAAGCATTCATTTCTCTCTACGTGAGACAAAGGATTGTTGTACTATTTTCCATGCGGTTCCATAACTTAATTGGGAGAGCCTGAAGAGGTTGTTCTTGGAGAAATATTTTTCAGCTTCAAAAAGCCACTTCTTCCATAAGAACATAAATTTGTAGCAGTAGACTTTGTGCGTTTTGGGAGAGGTTTAAAAGATTGTCTGCAAGTTGACCCCATCATCAAATTAGTAAACAGTTCTTTATCCAATATTTCTGAGGGATAACCCATTATGGTTGGGAGTATGATATATGCAACAAATGGTGCTCTTGTGAACAAAACCCCGACTTGTGGGAGAGGATTTAAGGGAGTGAGTAAATGGATTTGAGGGGATAGAGAGAGAATTGTGTGATTGTTTGGTGTTGGGTAAGAGAAAATGGTGTGATTGAGAGGGATTGAAATGAAAGTTTGTAAAAATTTGTATATGATGTAATAGATTAAAAAAATATTTAATTGATAAAATTAGATGATCACCATTTTACCCTTGAAGATAAATATGATATAATTTAATGTAAATATTATTATTATTAATATTATTATTACTATTATTATTGATATTATTATTACTATTATTATTGATATTATTATTATTAACGATGTTTTTTATTAATATTATTATCATTAATAATAATATTATTATTATTAATACTAGCTCTATATAATTCATTTAACAACTCTTTTATCACTTTGAATAGGAAATTTATCTGAAATTGTAGCAAAGGCTCGATAATTAAACAAAAGCACCAACTACCATCTTTCTTCTTAACCAAAATCACTGATTGTATGAACTTTTACTGGGCCTAATAATTTCTGTCCGCAACATCTCAACAACTTGTTTCTCAATGGGTACCTATAAGGTCTCACATAATTGGATCTACACCTGTTATGATAGAAATATGATGATTCCAATGCCTATTGGGTGGTAACCCTGTGGTGTATTGAAATGCCTTCAAAAGACCCCAAAATCTCTTCCAACTCATTTTGTGCTGCTGTTAACTGGTATTGCCTCTCAGATCCTTCCTCCAATTCGACACTACCCATCTCCCAAACCAATGTCACCACTTCAATCTCTGTTTCTTTTAATAAGGCTGCCGATGTGACAACCGTCTTGGTTAAGGAAGGATCCCCTTTATTAGAACTTCTTTCTCTCCTTGAATGAAATGCATTGTTAAATCCCTCCAGTTAATTCTGACTTCTTCAGTGTAGCTAACCAATTAATCCCCAAAATAAGATCCACTCTCCTAATTTCAAAAACAGGGTAAAAACCTTCCTGCCATCTCCAATCCTTCCAACTGTAGGTTAAATCTTTACAAATCCCACTAATAGGCTTATGATGTCCATCTCCCAAGCTAACTTCATAAGGAAAAGATTTATCCACTGCCAAACCCAATTCAGCCACCAACTGATCTGAAATAAAGTTGTGACTGGCACCACTGTCAATCAAAATCAATACTTTTCTTCCTTGCAACAATCCTTGGAACTTCATAGTATATGTTTGAGTTAATCCTCCCGCAGAAGAAAAAAATAGATAATTCATCTGTTTTGAGTCTTCTCTTCTCATTATTCAGGTTCCTTTACCTCGACATGTCTCTCCCCAAATTAAACACCCGAAGATTCTTTTCAGGGGCATTTATGACCAGGAGTGTATGGTCCTCCACATTTGAAAACACCTGCCCTCTTCCTTCGCTGATATATTCAGGGTAGGGTTAGTTTCGCATCCCCTTTATTCAATTTTCCCTGAATTCGAACTACCCACTTAGGACTCCAGTTTATTCCCCCTCCACTTCTATTCCTAACCGTGCTACAGTGCTGGAATTCACAATTCAGTCAAAAGTCCCCTTCAATGTTTCTAGCCAAGAAACCACTCCTCAAACTTCCTTGAAAATGACCTTGATTACAAATTACTCCTAATTGTTGTCCTCTCCCAGTCCTTACATCCAAAAGTTGTTAAACTCATGGGAGTTTATGTAAACTTGATTGTAAACTCGTAAGAGTGTACTTATATAAAAATATTCTTAAAATATTTATAAAATAACATAATAATTTAATATGTATAATGTTATAAATAATGTTTTTATTTTTTATAGTATTATAATTATTAGTTTGTCATATTATATATTTTTAAATATTGTTCTTTAATAGTATTATTCTTTTATCCATAATTTTTAATGATTATAGTTGACAATTCACATAAAAAACAAATTGTTGAAACTTAATGTTGGCTCAAAGTTCAGCAGAGTAGAGGGGAGGCCCAATGCGTTCCACAAAATTTAAGTGTAAGGAAGAGGGACTCAGGCTTACTTTAGTATAAATATTTACATGCTAAACTAAAATATAAACACTGATATAGAAAAGCACAAAACAGTGAGTGGATTTCATGTCTTTAATAAAACCATAATGATTTCATTTCTTTAATTAAAAGCCACGAAACAATGCCATTTTAGGGGTTGTTGTAACGTTAAAATAAAAAAGTTTCACTCACCACACGTAGAGCTCGAAGGAGGCGAGAGCAGGAGTGGCGGCAAGCACATCAGCAAGCACGACGGTGAGCGTGAACCATGCAAACGGAGCATGACCACAAGTCAGGTGAACGACGAGCCAACGAGGCACAACCACGAACAACAGTGAAAGAAACGCAACGGTGCCCTAAACTCAAAAGGATTTCCTCTTTCTTGTTTCTCCCTATTTCAACTTGCAAAATCGCATTCAAAATGATTCCACGAGTTCAGTTACGATTTCACCGAGTTTACTCGAAAACCTGTTTGCTTCAAGTTAACTCGAAAGCCAAGATGGGATGCAAAACTCGTCTGAGTTAACGAGTTAACTCGCGAGTTTGATAACCTTGCTTACATCTCTTGAAACTCCTTCCACATCTCTAGCGATCTCCATGGCTCTCAATAGATCCTTGGGATTGTGTGGTCGGATCCAACTTCTAATATTAACATGCCGACCCGCAAAGAAGTACCCCATTAACTGTCTCTGTTCAAGTCTGTGCTTGTCCAAATAAAATCTCAAATACCTGTATGTATTCCTCCACTTCTCCTTTCTGTCTGACTAACAACCAATTTTTCAACACCAGCATCTATCCATTCCTCCAAAAACCTTCTAATTAAGCTTTCGCAAGTCCTCCCATGAAGGATTTTTTGTTTTCTTTCTCCAAAATATGAACCCATTAGGGCTCGTACTTCCATATTTCGTGAACGCCAACTGAATCTCTCGCTAGGTGAGACCTCTTGTACTTCAACATGAATTATGTTCAGCCCTAGATAATCACACCAATTGGATCCCCCTCCTTCAAACGAAAAGGGAAGCTGTTTTCACTCTTTTCATCATCCCACCGCTCCTGGACTTACTCTACCTTGCTTCTTACTCCTACTCTCTCCTTTGTCTTCCTCTTTCCCTTCGCCAAATCTCTCCCTTCCTTCCAACTCTATCCCCGTTTATAGAACCTCTGCTTTATATGTTCTTAAGTCTTGCACAAAACATCCCTCCATCATAATCGAATGAGCCCTTATTGAAGTTTGGTTTCTAGAATTCCCCTCCCTCGTTTTTCCCCCCAATTGCTTCTCCATTGTTATTCACAATGGTTTTCTACGAGAATCTCTCTTTCCATGACTCGCGTTGGGGTGTTTTTTATCTGGCAAGGGGTCAAAACCAAATTGTGTAGATTTTAGGTGATAAGAACCAAAGTTACTAAATTAGCTTAGGAAATAGCACAAAAATCTTACTGGCAACAACATTAAGAATAACACTCCTATTCGAAAAAAACATAATACAGACGAACATCCCCCACAACTTCCAGGGAAGAAAAAATTCCTTTCTACACAAATTAGTAACACTGGTTGTTTCTAATAAACTACTCAACAACCCAAAACAAGGGACCATTTCCCCCCTTAAAACCCTAACCCCTATTAGACTTTGTAACTTCCTCTGACCACCAATGATTGACTTGAAATTGCCCAACACAGTTCAATGTTTCGTAATTCTAATTTTTAACCTTTTTCCTAACATCACCTTGAATGTCTTCTCAGACTCCATGAGATTTCAAAACGTTCAATTTCAGCATTTGCATTTATCTTCGAAGTTAGAAGCTCAACATTGCTTAGTGGAGCTACCATGCTCCAATGTGGTAGCGACGCATGGTGGCAGAAGCTCCAACAAAAAGCTCGACAATGACTCCTACATAAACTCCAACGAGGGTCTGGCAACAACTCTTGCTATGGTTCCGGCAAGGTCCTAAAAAAGTCCAGTTATAGCTTTGGAGAAGGTTCGATGAAGGTCTTAAGCCAGCTCTGAGGACAGCACACGCAATTCAAGAATGGAAAGAACCTCAAGTTGGGTGCACTTCAAGCAATCCTAGTATTTAAAGGAAATTGGTGCACTTCAGGCAACCGTAAAAGGAACCACAACTAAGACGGTAAAGAAGAAATGCAAAAGCAAAGCTTCCAAGATCGGGAACTCTGATACCAACTAGAAAGAAGATTTTTATTCAATTGATTGAAAACAGTACAGTACATCCACTTCTATATATAGAGAACTCAAATCCTAAAGTAATAATTACAAGAGATCTCTAGAATCTTCTAACAACTTTTAGTAATTTAATATCCTACCAACAACTTTTAGTAGTGCATTTAATATCCAACTAACAACATCCTACCAGATTTTTATTTCTTAGGGCTCTAAAACTTAAGTTGGTTGAGCCACCAGCTGACTGTCACCCACCTTTATCTTGCAGACGGTGTTAGAGATATTTCTATTGTATAGTTTCTTTGTTAGTTTGCTTGCACTCCTAATCGTCAGTTATAACTATTGAACAGTTATAACAATTAGACATTTATAACTGACATATTGAAATATGTCAATAATGATCCTCTGAAGTATATACATAGATCTGTTGTAGCATGATCATAATTTTTGTTTAGATATTGATCAATAAAACTTTGGTTCAGTATTCTCTCCAGTTAATTAATATAATTTGATCATAATATGTTCAAACAACTATGTATAACGAAAGGAATTACCTTGGTGGGAAGTGGTAATATTACCCATTGATTCGGAGCTGATTTAGCTTTTGATCTTGTGGTCACTCCCTCACCAGACTTCACGAGGCAATAAGCTTGGGAAATCAGCAAAAAGTACTCCGAATCCCCGGGTGAAGAAAAAAGTGAACAAAAATAGATCATATAATAGTAATACCTTAATTAGATGGCCTTGGACATGTATTTTTCCCAATTCATTGTGCCTGCTGGTTAGCAACAAGGCCAAGGCACTTGTAGTTACTTTTATTTGATATGCTCCCTGTATGTCGCCTGCAATCATATATCACATTGAAGAAAATTGATCTTGTTCATGCATATCTAAGAATACCTTATTGATCATTCTCATGCTTCAGAGGTAAAAGTAACAAACATGAGTTTTGCAAAAAAGTATTCACACGCACTGAAGGGAGAAGGAGTTACTATATTAGTTAGATATTAAAAATTTTAGTACTTAGTAACAAAATCTGATAGATTTCTTGAAGCAAGAAATCAAACTCTCACGCAAAACACTCTCACATGCACCAGCAATACTGGAAAGAATCTGAATATTATTCTTGAGATCAAAGAATACAGTGTACACAGACCAAACACTATCAAGGGAACACTCTCACTTCACACAGGATGCAATTGTCCTGTCTATACAACAAAGCAAAAACATGTCTGTCACAAGACACCCCTGGCCCCTTATAAAGCTAACCCTTCTTGATAACCAACAACTAACCACCCAACAGACCTCCTAAGCCTCCTAACCGCCTAACAGTCTACAACCTCCTATTTAATTTCTTTTCCTCCTTTCATATACTTTTAAAGCCCTATCAAAATCTTTCAACTATTCATGCATGAGGATGACTCCATACCAAAGGGCAGTTACACACATCTTTCAGTTCTATGGACAAAATACATTGCAACAAACACATAATTTGAAAAAGTGGAAAATACCAAATAAATCACATAGCAAAATATCTTAACCAACAAAATAGTAGAAGGATGCTCACCCTGCAGCTTGGTCCATTCTGAAATCACATAAGCAAACGAATTGTCATGTCCATCCGCAGGAATTGAGATCATCAAATCAATGAAATCTCCAACATTAGGAACACTCATGTGTACCTGAATAATATTTTGTAAATTATCGATGTGGACAGAGGGAAAGCAGACATTAGAATCATTCAATTAACTGTTTTCAACCTCCAAAGACTATTTACAAAAAAGAGAGATTTGACTGTTAACCATTCCCAACCAAAAACTGAGAATAGAATCATTTAAACTCAATCTGAAAATTTGGCTAAATTACCAGTCTAGCAAAAACAATTAGCAATGAGCTTCGTAGGACAGCGTTTTGAGCAGATTGCATTCGTTTGACAAGTGCAGCAACCAAGTCTCGTATATGTACCGCCATATGTGATGGCAAATGCAAAATAAGTTGAAGAATGTAACTCCCAACAAAGAGAGACCCAGAGCTTTCCAATTCCGGGTTTAGTAATCTGTTCAAAATAAATGAAATCAGACAACAAATTGGAAACAGAGATTAAAAGATACACCTACATGTGACATAAGCAGGAAACCTAAAATAAAACAAGAATAAAATGTTTGTACCTGTTACTGTAAAGGAGGTTTTCAAAGTTCCGATGAACAAGAAGTATTAAAGAGAATATCTTAGTTTAGACTTGGAACCTAACTCAATACCATAAAACTTATAAGGTGAAAATTACCTAAGATTTGTACGTCCTATTATTGAGATATAGCACATTTCTGTTATATGTAGCTCATTTAAGAAATATGATCACTTGCACAAACGAGAGGACTAAAAACAATGTAATCAACCTACATTGTTGGACTTTTATTGATGTACTTATAGGATACAAAGAAAAGGTGATGAGTTTGTTTTTACGCACTCATACAATGCTTAAATCATAGCTTTCTCGAAGAATAATTGTCTTTAAATCCATTCTTTTATCTAGGATTCGTCCAAATGGGATCAAATGAGCTTTAAATGAAATTATGCACTAAAACCAGATTTTTAAAGCCGTGTCAGATGATAAGTGTTCTAGGTAGCCAAAATGCACTAGATGATATAGCTAGATGAGTCTAATTAGAAAGTTTGGTCTATGGAATTTTCTTAGATGACTTGATAAATCAACAACACTTTATTTCTTTTACAAGATATAAGGTTCCCTCCACGGAATCCATAGTATCATGTGGTAGATCTCTTATTAATGGGAGAACCAACCCAATATACACCCCAATACCTTAAGACTTGAGTACTTCCCTTGTTATTGTACAAGTGTCCCTGTCCCGGGTTCCCTTTTCCAGATCAAAGAATGTGAACAACAACATTCCAATGATCAATGTTGATGTTTTGAATACATTGACTTCCAACTCCTACCGAATAAAATCAAGTTTTAACCAACCTTCTATATCTCTCTAGGTCTGAGAAAAGTCCAGATTGGCTTCGTTAACTTTTGATTTGAATCCATAAAACTATCAATAGGCTTGTAATATTCCATGCCTATCACCTCAAAAATATCAAGACTATTTTCTTTGTGAAATGATGACACCTTCTAACTTTTGATTTGAATCCATAAAACTATCAATAGGCTTGTAATATTCCATGCCTATCACCTCAAAAATATCAAGACTATTTTCTTTGTGAAATGATGACACCTTCTAATTGTGCCACTTCAATACCAAGATGTTAGAGAAAAAGACCAACACCTTATGATTTAGATTAAGTGCTGCTAGAAACATCTAACTGACGAACACGATCATGCTTCGTCTAAAAGATAATGAACTAAATGAACAACAAACCATGTAAGACGCAAGCCATGATTAATGAAATCCAAACTCTTGAAGGTAATAGAACATGTGCATTAGTTCCTCTTCCACTTGGACAAAATGTTGTTGGTTTAAAGAACTCATAGTTAAGTAAAACAATGTATATTTCCTTAAATGCATTGTTACAATTTACTATTGTATTTATAGAGTATAGTAGTGCAAAATACAAAAATGTCAGGAAACCCTAAAACCCAATAGTTGGGTTCCCGTACATAAATAATAATAATAATAAAGAAAATTACATTTCAACAATGGTTATTGTAGTTGAATCTTCCACTCGTTGTGATAGGATATGTATGGTGTATGTTAGGAGGAAACATATTAAAAAGTAGTTGTTAGTTGAGTTGTTAGGTTGAGCAAGACTTCCTATATATAGCTGAGGGTCTTTGTATTCAGGGACGTTTTTGGATATTTTGGAGAGTTGTTGACAAGATCATTGGCATCCTGTGTGAAGGGAAAATTGTCCCTTGGAAGCATTCATGCTGTACTTGTTGCCTAGGATCAATAATACAAGATATATTCAGTGAGTTTAGGTGTCTGCAGTGGTTTTTCCTGGTTTCCTCTATCTAGGAACCTAACACGTTGTTAGCTACATAAATGGTATACACAATCATTCCAAATGAACTTTAAGCTTAACTAAGTCTTATAATACCAGCTTATAGGGTCATGTTTGCACACACTTATATACTATAAATTTGTCTTAACTTTAGTCAATGTGAAATCTCCAACATACACCCCTCATCATGGAACTCGACATTTTATGGGTGGCTAATAGCAGTCCAATAGCAGGTGGTCCGGTAAGCCCAGCAAACAACAACCTTCGCAAGGATAAACTCTAAGATAATTCCAATATCATGTTGAAATAAAAGAAAAAGAGACATAGGCTGATATCCTGATCTGTAAGACAAAAAGATGGACCTAAGCCTTTTCCATCTACAACTTTTAATAACAGAAAAATAATAAACTAAATTGGGAAGATCTAATAGTATGTAACAATACAATAAACTTAAGGTTGATTTTGCAGAAAATATAGAGGAATGTTTAAAAGCTAAAACTTAAAGAAATAACAAAATAAATTGTAAATTGTTTGAACAGTAGTTGAAAGAAGCTTGATGTTAGCGAATGTACTTAGAAATGTGAAATAATAGCCAACTACCTTGAAGCTATATCAAGTAAACTTCTCATAGTTGATCCAGAATCAGATCCCCACGCAAGAATTTCTTGTCTTCCCCCAGATATAAATGCAGATAAACACTCTGTAGCATTCTGCTCATATCAAGTGAATACATATATTTAATTCTATACTCCAATCAGAAATAGTTTAAAATATAAATAATAAAATAGAATGTATCTAAAATATACCTGAATTTCACTATGGTCATCACTTTGTAGGATTATTTTGACAACAGCATTAAAAGAGACATCATATATTGCTTTCACTACATCAGCAGGGGCATTCTGCATATAGCTACAACGAAATGAGATGAGAAATTCAAAAGATAAAGTGCTCATAGGTCAAGGGTGACATGATTCTACGTATACTTGCCTTTAGTAACATTGTTACCAGATCTAGTGAACCAGATACCAAGCCTTCAGTTTGCTCTTGGGGCTACAAGAACATAGGTGTGTAAGTAACAGGTATTATTCTAAAATCACTAACCACTGACACTTGGTCAACTTTGAATACTCATACTTTATTCAAAATTGGTCCAACATACGGCAAAATTCTGGCAACCAATGGATGTATGCATCCAGGAATGCTTTTGATCGTCTGGAGAAAGGAAAAAATATAATCAGATGAACAAAAGAAATTATTTATAAGCAAGCATTATAATAATTCTTTCCAAACTCTGCAGCAGTTACGAACCAAGGAATCTATATATAGAGCTCGATAAATGATAGCTTCAAAATAACATCTTCGAGAATAGCACATAAGTTAAAGTACTAATATATGTGTGTATTTCGAGCATATATACACATGCACACCCAACAAAGCTCTCAGTACATGTCACATAACAACCAGCACACAATTAACTTCATACGTGTGTTTAATACTGCAAATTACAGCATTTCCAATTGTCAGGCCATCAAAATGAAATGAAGGTGTCCGAGTCCATTGATTTATGCTGCAGTTAATATTTCCTTGGACAGTTTTAATTATATAACTAGGACAGTTTTGAAGACTCAAATTAAAGATCAAACTCAAATGGAGAGATCAACAAAAATAAAGATAACTCTTCTTCCCCATTCCTAAACACTAAACCCAATTGGGTAAATTTTGGTCGTAGTTCCTAAAGACTAAATTTGAGAGACTAAAAATCTTTCAAAATTATTTTGGCTTAAATACCCATTTGGTCCTATTATTTATTTCTTTTGTTCGATTTGGTCTCTGTATTAATAAAAGATTCAATCAAGTCCCTGAATTTTAAAAATGCAACAATGAGACCCTCTCAAAGTTCAATAAAATCCCTCGACTTTTAAAAAGCCAACAATGAGCCTCTTTTTGCATATTTAAATTGACGTATGAAATTGTATAAATCATCACTATGCATTTGATATAAACTGTATTATGCATAAATTAAAACGTCAATGTTTCTGTTTGTTAACGATTTTACTCCTAATTGAATGAACTGTGAGCACACTTCTACTTCATTGAACATTTTAGCAATAATGAGAAAGAATTGAATAAAACAAATACTAATGGGACATAAAAGAAAATTAAGATAACTATTTTTAGTCCTCAAATTTAGCATTTAGGACCTAAAAGTAATGTTTTCTTTTTCAAATATGAAGGACTAACCTGAACCTTTTTTATTTTTGGGACCAAAAATAGAACTGCCAAAATTTCAAGGACTAACGTAAAAATTAAACCCTATTCTTATTTAAAGCACATATATGATAAAATAATCTAGATAATAAAAGGACGACATAATAAATTATTCAAACAAAAATTTCATGATATGGTAAATTAAGATTTTAAGTAAAACTCAACCACATAAAAACTGATTTATAAAATAAGGTTTGTATCCACTTATATATTATAATTTGACTTTATCACTAGTTTATATAGGATTTCCAATACATCCTTTAAAGCCAAAGACAATACACCTCGAACATAAAACTAGATATTTTTAGATAATTTGTTAACAGCCTGATAGCATGTGCTACAATATTAAAAAATGGATTTTAAATCAAAGTTAACCTTAAGTAATAATAAACTAATCAAACATATTATGTTAATATAATATTTAAAATATAATATGTAAACTAAATATAACTAAGGGTGTGTGTCGAAGAACTAGAAAAATTAGATTAATTCAACAATCAATATTATGTATAATTTATTCAAATTATGGTAATTTATTGAACAGTTCTCTAGTTTGGATACAACAAAAAAACAGTTTTTACATAAGAATAAGAATCTATGAAGTTGACAGGGAAAAATGTTTTCTACTAAATTTCAAGTGATGTCCTAAACATCTAATATATTAAACATATTTTTCTTAAAAATAGCTTAAGTGAAGAAAAACAAAACAAAAAATGCTCTTAAATAATTATTATTATTATTATTATTAGGGTTAACTATGTTTTTGTTCCTTAAACTATCACACGAATTTTGATTTTTGTCCATGATACTAATAATAATAATTATTATTATTACTATTATAATAATAATGTTGAATAAAGCATAACATATAATATAATATAGTAAAAAATAATACAATAATGGCTATCCTGAGTTCTGCTATGCTATCCCTTTTTAGCAATTTTGGGGTTGACCACTACAGACCCCAATCTAAGATTGTGATTGGTTCGATGGAACATTCCACATTAGAATCTCATGTTTTACAGTCCTACCTCAGGGTAAGGTTTGACAACATCAGTCATGACTAATCTAAGATGCCAAGGAAAACAACCAAGTAACTCTGGAGATAATAATATTAACAAATAAAATCATTACCTCAAGAATTTCAAGTGCATCAATACTGATAAAAGGATCCGAAACATGCGATGCCCACACATTAAGGATTACAGGAGAAATCATGTTTTCAACTACTGTTGATGATTCACGACCTATAAAAAGTAATGATAAGGGAATAAATATATGTGAAATGAAAACAAGGGATAGATTTAGTAAAAACATTTTGAAAACTTCTCACCCCAATGATTTATAAATTATAACACATTCTGCACAAGCAATATAATAGCTTTCAGGTAAAACTTCTCACCCCAATGATTTATAAATTATAAATTTTAACACATTCTGCCGAATATAAGTATGAATATATAATCAAGCTAGTATCCGGAAATACATTTAATATTACACCTAATTTTAACAAATAGCTAGCTGAGATATTTTTAAATCATATACATACACGTGAGTGTGCTTGTGTCAATATCTGAGGAGTATACGACCTAACCTGCTTTCACTGCAGCAAGTAGTGTATCAAGTACCAGGTGCAAGGTTTCCTCTGATGCCTGGAAATCATATTTTGGCAATTAATATATGCAACAATAGTAAAGATACATAACAAAAGCTTTTATAATGTGGGTACATGATTAAGAAGATCAGTGAGGGATGAAAATAAACCCAACAACTGCGATTGGATAACTTCATTCGTTGCTTCAGGAAGGAGGTTAGAAAGTGCTCTNAGTTAAGTAAAACAATGTATATTTCCTTAAATGCATTGTTACAATTTACTATTGTATTTATAGAGTATAGTAGTGCAAAATACAAAAATGTCAGGAAACCCTAAAACCCAATAGTTGGGTTCCCGTACATAAATAATAATAATAATAAAGAAAATTACATTTCAACAATGGTTATTGTAGTTGAATCTTCCACTCGTTGTGATAGGATATGTATGGTGTATGTTAGGAGGAAACATATTAAAAAGTAGTTGTTAGTTGAGTTGTTAGGTTGAGCAAGACTTCCTATATATAGCTGAGGGTCTTTGTATTCAGGGACGTTTTTGGATATTTTGGAGAGTTGTTGACAAGATCATTGGCATCCTGTGTGAAGGGAAAATTGTCCCTTGGAAGCATTCATGCTGTACTTGTTGCCTAGGATCAATAATACAAGATATATTCAGTGAGTTTAGGTGTCTGCAGTGGTTTTTCCTGGTTTCCTCTATCTAGGAACCTAACACGTTGTTAGCTACATAAATGGTATACACAATCATTCCAAATGAACTTTAAGCTTAACTAATTCTTATAATACCAGCTTATAGGGTCATGTTTGCACACACTTATATACTATAAATTTTTCTTAACTTTAGTCAATGTGAAATCTCCAACATACACTCCTCATCATGGAACTTGACATTTTATGGGTGGCTAATAGCAGTCCAATAGCAGGTGGTCCGGTAAGCCCAGCAAACAACAACCTTCTCAAGGATAAACTCTAAGATAATTCCAATATCATGTTGAAATAAAAGAAAAAGAGACATAGGCTGATATCCTGATCTGTAAGACAAAAAGATGGACCTAAGCCTTTTCCATCTACAACTTTTAATAACAGAAAAATAATAAACTAAATTGGGAAGATCTAATAGTATGTAACAATACAATAAACTTAAGGTTGATTTTGCAGAAAATATAGAGGAATGTTTAAAAGCTAAAACTTAAAGAAATAACAAAATAAATTGTAAATTGTTTGAACAGTAGTTGAAAGAAGCTTGATGTTAGCGAATGTACTTAGAAATGTGAAATAATAGCCAACTACCTTGAAGCTATATCAAGTAAACTTCTCATAGTTGATCCAGAATCAGATCCCCACGCAAGAATTTCTTGTCTTCCCCCAGATATAAATGCAGATAAACACTCTGTAGCATTCTGCTCATATCAAGTGAATACATATATTTAATTCTATACTCCAATCAGAAATAGTTTAAAATATAAATAATAAAATAGAATGTATCTAAAATATACCTGAATTTCACTATGGTCATCACTTTGTAGGATTATTTTGACAACAGCATTAAAAGAGACATCATATATTGCTTTCACTACATCAGCAGGGGCATTCTGCATATAGCTACAACGAAATGAGATGAGAAATTCAAAAGATAAAGTGCTCATAGGTCAAGGGTGACATGATTCTACGTATACTTGCCTTTAGTAACATTGTTACCAGATCTAGTGAACCAGATACCAAGCCTTCAGTTTGCTCTTGGGGCTACAAGAACATAGGTGTGTAAGTAACAGGTATTATTCTAAAATCACTAACCACTGACACTTGGTCAACTTTGAATACTCATACTTTATTCAAAATTGGTCCAACATACGGCAAAATTCTGGCAACCAATGGATGTATGCATCCAGGAATGCTTTTGATCGTCTGGAGAAAGGAAAAAATATAATCAGATGAACAAAAGAAATTATTTATAAGCAAGCATTATAATAATTCTTTCCAAACTCTGCAGCAGTTACGAACCAAGGAATCTATATATAGAGCTCGATAAATGATAGCTTCAAAATAACATCTTCGAGAATAGCACTTAAGTTAAAGTACTAATATATGTGTGTATTTCGAGCATATATACACATGCACACCCAACAAAGCTCTCAGTACATGTCACATAACAACCAGCACACAATTAACTTCATACGTGTGTTTAATACTGCAAATTACAGCATTTCCAATTGTCAGGCCATCAAAATGAAATGAAGGTGTCCGAGTCCATTGATTTATGCTGCAGTTAATATTTCCTTGGACAGTTTTAATTATATAACTAGGACAGTTTTGAAGACTCATATTAAAGATCAAACTCAAATGGAGAGATCAACAAAAATAAAGATAACTCTTCTTCCCCATTCCTAAACACTAAACCCAATTGGGTAAATTTTGGTCGTAGTTCCTAAAGACTAAATTTGAGAGACTAAAATGATCTTTCAAAATTATTTTGGCTTAAATACCCATTTGGTCCTATTATTTATTTCTTTTGTTCGATTTGGTCTCTGTATTAATAAAATATTCAATCAAGTCCCTGAATTTTAAAAATGCAACAATGAGACCCTCTCAAAGTTCAATAAAATCCCTCGACTTTTAAAAAGCCAACAATGAGCCTCTTTTTGCATATTTAAATTGACGTATGAAATTGTATAAATCATCACTATGCATTTGATATAAACTGTATTATGCATAAATTAAAACGTCAATGTTTCTGTTTGTTAACGATTTTACTCCTAATTGAATGAACTGTGAGCACACTTCTACTTCATTGAACATTTTAGCAA